CTAGGCAATAAAGCCACTAAAATTCAATCTATATCTATAATTCTCAAAATGTATGTGTATGTATATATGTATGTGTGTGTGTGATTGGATGTTGTTTATGCGTTTCCACAGTTCATATTTTGATTATCTTTTTTCCTTCGATAGATAATTCTTCAGAGCCGGTTTTGAGTCCAAACTGTTGGCGACGATGGCTCTCCACTACTTCCTGTCCATTATAACTCTCAGCAAACTTTTTACTATTTACTGTCTGTTCTTGGATATATATATATATATATATATATATATATATATATATATATATATATATATATATCATAAAAACTTTAATAAAAATAAATAGTTTAAATTATAACATGATATTATCTATAATTCTCAAAATGTGTGTGTGTGTGTGTGTGTGTGTGTGTGTGTGTGTGTGTGTGTGTGTGTGTGTGTGTGTGTTTCTACAATTTTCATCCGATTTTTTTTCTTTTATAGATAATTTTTCAGTGCCGGTTTCAGTGTCAAATTGGCTGAAAAAAATTACAGCCTTGAAGGTGAAAAATCGAAAATTTTAATCTTTTTGGGACCGACTTTAAAGTCATACTGCTCCAATTGAATGGCAAAAATTCGCAGTAATGAAAGATCCGTTTGAAGACAGTTTATACTGCTAATTAGTTACTATGACTGAAAAAATACGAGAAAAAAAGGAAACATTTTTTTAAGATCAAAGTTGCCTGGAGTACAAGAAACCGGAAGCCAGTTCCACAAGCGAGGAGGGCGAGAGAAAAAACTGTTAGCATTTCAAGTTTAAAATGATGAGACTTTATCGCCAATTTAGTACTACGCTAAATGGTTCAAGTACCATAGAGGGAAGGCCAAAAGAAAAAATTACCATGAATAGAAAAGGAACAGAGATGCTACGTTACGTGACTGAATCCGAGATGTCATGTCAAGACAAATAACTTTGCAGATTCTTTTTTGGATTTTATCAAGAAAATATAGAGTAGCAGTTACAGCTCAGACGTGGCAGCGAACTTCAATCCAAGGATGAATTGTAGATTTATAAATGTTTAAGATAGATTGTCGCTTGAAAAATTGTCTAGCATGACACAGTAAATCATCTTTCGTAGTAGCAGACCTAGCATTTGATTCAATATAATCTTTCTGTTTTATATCCCTAGAAAATATCAGCATGAGAAGGTCCAATATGTCAATCTACTTGGGATTAGCATTAGCCACACTGATGGAAGCCAGAAAGTGTATCCTCTAATAGAGAATTTAAATTATTATTATATTTAGATAATAAATATTCAGTTATTTTAATTTATCAATTGCTAATAATATTAAATTTAAATTTGGTAAAATTTCCTGGGATTAGTTAATATTAACACATTTCGGTTGTTTTGTGCGTCAGTCTTCTTCAGGAGTCTGTCGATCTAAGAGTCTTCATGTAATTTTGTATTAAACCCTTTAATTAATCTACCCGAATATAGTAGTATTGTTCTGCTGTTCAATTTTATCGATATCATAACTTCGGCCGAAACTTTCTGATAATAGCAACAAATATGAGAAAAGAGAACAAATGTCTCCTTCTATATGTCATGTTATTTTAGGATGTTTTCAATCATGGATCTCAACAATTTCCTGTAGATCTTCTAAACCTTGTTCTAGTATCCATTTAAACAAGCTCGTAAGGTAGGTTATCAGTTGTTTTCCACTGTCCATCTTGCCTTTATAATGCTCTGTGAGAGTCAAATGTTCCTGAGCTGCTCCAAGCACTTATACTCTGCCAATAATGCCAGGTATCTCCAAGGAATCTTGCGAGCTAGAAAGATTCCAGGAAATAGTCCCGAGCAGGCTAACCACAAAAGGGATAACTTGACGTGCTGTGAGGTATATTTCTCTGACGTTTTATGCCAGGTATTGGTTCCACTGACTTTTGGTCTGCCCACCTTCACGGTGTTCTTATTCCAAGATACAGACACGTCTATCAGGGTCCATTTATATCAGCTCTTGTGCATAAAATTGAATGGCAGATGATCTCTCCTCAGATATAGCTCTGACATCGCAGTAGAGAAAAAATGGCTGCTCACATTCAATGGCTCGAAAACAAAACTAGTTAGATTCTATTGTCCCTGATCAGACCCTGAACTCTGACTAGACACGATGAATGGAGGTCTCCTATTGGGCCTCAATTTCGACCGGTCATATCCGAATATGATTTTAGTTTAGAACAAGACAAACACTTAACTTACGTTTGAACAAAGCTATTCTATTGAAACGTTTTCTATTTGTGTTTCAGTGAATTTTTCTTTATCATCACATGGGTTTAGATCGTTTTGGGGACCAAGTAAATGGTTAAAGAAATAACAAAATATATGTTGCAGATATATCATATATTAAACAGTAAGTACAACAGAAGAGTATTACACGACTAGTGAATGTGTGTCGGTTGACCCAGCGTTCAATCTATTAGACTGTTGATATTTACCAGCCGCCCGACGAGGTATGATGTGGCACACGGTCAAGTTCAATGTGGAGCATAACATTCTCCGTAGACCCAGTATTAAAATGGGTCGGGTATCTGTTTCTCGAGACGTGAGTGACTTTCAACATAGCCTCGTCTGGGGATCCTCTCTGCCCGGAGGCAGAGAGTTTGATCAGCACAGCTGGAACAGATCTTTTCGATTGTTATATTTAACAGCCACCCCCACCTCCACCATGAGGGATGTATGTGGCGCAATGCTGAATTTACCGTGGGTTTTCCGAGTCCGTGGATTCTCTGAGCCCGTAGGTTCAACCAAAAATATTCCCTTAGAACCCGCATAAACGGGTTCAGGGCCTGTGTACCTCCCCGGACAAAAGTTGGCCCTTCGGCAAAGCCTCGTCCGGGTTCTTCACTGCTCAAGGCAAGAGAGTTCGACAGTTGAACAATCTATTCGACTGTTAATATTTAACAGCCCCACCACGAGGGATGTATGTGGCACAAGGCCGAGTTTACCGTGGATTCTTCGAGCCCGTAGGCTTGGTCAAAAATATTTCCGTAGAAACTGCATAAACGGATTATGGGACTGTCTACCTCACCGGACGAATCTTTGCCCTGCGCCGAAGCCTAGCCCGGGTTCCTCTCTGCCGGTAGATAGTTCGAGAGCTATGAACAGTCTGGTCGTCTGTTAATATTTAATAGCCCCCACGAGGGTGTATGTGGCCCAAGGCCGGTTTATTATGGGTACTCTGAACCCGTAAGCTCAGCCAAAAATATTCCCATTGAATCCGCCTAAACGGGTTCAGAGACTGTCTACCTCCCCGCAGGAATCTTTGCCCTGCGGCAAAGCCTCGTCTGAGTTCTCCCCTGCTGAGGCAGAGAGTTCGACAGATGAACAGTCTGGTCGACTGTTTTCCCAAGGACTTCTCCCCTACTAATCTTATAGTAGGCGGAAGAGTCCAACATAGACTATTTAGAGGAATGCCACGACAATAATCATATTACATAAAATGTAAAGCAACGCCCTTAAGCTTATCAAAGAACTCTTACACACGACACATTGATAAAGATGCAGAAAAATGGTCTGTACTCTGTGTTACTTCAGTAAATACTTGACTCCCCATTCTATCCTCCAAATATACAAAAGCAGATCAGGCATAAAATAGAGAACTGTTGTAATATTTGGGCAGGAGCAACCCAGTCCTCACTTTCCACACTAGAAAGACGTCGAAAGCCTATCTGGGCCTTTTTGGGTGACAAATATTTTCCACCTTGTAACGCCTCATTCACAGACGAGATGTCGCAATATTCTCACTGGACTATCGCTACTTCAAAAGAAAGTGCTTAGACGAACTACATTCCTTAGCTCCAGTAATTCTAACCTTCACGGCTTGGACCCGCCATGCTACGCACATTGTAGCGAACCTTATTATTTCTGTATTTCATTAGTAAGAAGTAAGTTCCACTTGAGCAGCTTCTTCCTGTGAACCACGTCTCTGCGGAACCGTCAACCAAAAGGATGTTATCCTGAGCAGGACAATATTAACCTCTTCATGTCTAGGCTTATCCGTTAACTTCACCACCTATCCGCATAAATTGTGCTACCTACTCCCTAAGAAACTACCTCCAGTGCCCTGACCTTGTACCTCACAGTAAAATAATAATAATAAAAAAAACGAATTAGCTGGAATTCGAACACGGTTCAACAATGTATCTTTTCCAGATGTTCTCCATTACACCGTATAATACATCGTGTTTCTTAATACTTTGTTTAAATCCTAATAAGATAATGATAACTCCTCATATCATATACACAGATATAAATGTACAAACTTATTCATTTCTTTTAAAGTACTCTACTTTATATACTAATCAAGGAGTACATTTATCACCATTCCTTAAGCATGGAACACCAAGTTAGGCCAGAAATAATGATCTATCAGGTAATCTTATTAAACACTGCGTGAGGAAAAAGGTTCTATTCTGTTTGTAACTTGCCGTTTCTGAACAATGCATAATACTTTTCTAATTAAAATATTTGTGTTGTTATAATTTCAATTATTTGTTATTAAAACATTAATAATATTTCTATATCATTGTTAGTTTATATATCAGTTTGTTTTCAAACGATTAAAACGAATAAGTACTGTTATTTGTATTACTTTTATAATGTTAATATTAATGTTACGACTTTTCTCATTATGCGTAATTGTTTCAATTATTTATATAATTTCTAGCGTATCTGTTATTATTACAACTAACACATTCATTATAAAAACGAGAAAAGAAAATATATTTTATCATAATTGAAAGATTACTATTATTATTGATATATTTTCCCTTCTTCTATTATTTGGTCTATCTTCTTCTTCTTCTTCTTCTTCTTCTTATTATTATTATTATTATTATTATTATTATTAACATGAACATGTGTCTTAGCGCGTTAACTTTCCATTAACACCCGTTCCATCTTTTATTTCCTTTGAATGATTAGTTTTTGTTCGATCTAAAATTGCAAAGAACACGGGTCACTATGACACCGAGTGGCCCGCATAAAGCTTTCAAGCTTCATTTTTCTATATTCGACATTACTGTCATTTTCTTCCTTTCGTTTCTTTACATTTGATGCATGTATGTATTTAGGTGTGTGTGTGTGTGTGTGTGTATTTGAGGTTGTGTCTGCTGGGCATTACTGCATGTGTGAGCGAATGTGCACACGTGTCACTGGAGCTGTGTACAAATAAATTTAGCGAAAAAGAAAGAAACAGGATCAGGAAGGCCGGGACAAAACTCAAGGAAAACAAGAAAGGGAAAAGCAACAAACCAGTTTGCATTTACATTCAATAGCATGTACCATCTATCTAGCTATCTAGTTCTCTATCGATATATATACATACATATGTGTGTGTTTATGTGTGTGCGTGTGTGTGTCAATATAGTCATATAAATCTATACATATATGTC